ATGGAAACACTACTGAGATTTCTAAAGATATTAAAAATTGAATTACCATATTACCCAGCAACCTGTTCTCTGGGTATACACCCAAAGAAGAAATCATTACCTCATAAAGATATCTGCACTCCCATGTTCCTTGCAGACTGTTCATAATAGTTAAGATATGGAAACAGCCTAAAGGTCCGTTGATGAACTAATGTATAAGAAAAATGTGGTGTTTGTGTGTGTGTGTGTATATATATGATATATATATGTGGTATATAATATATATATGATATATAATGTGGTGTGTGTGTGTATATATATCATATATATGCATCATAGTATACACACAGACACATGCACACACACACAACGGAATATTATGCAGTCTTATAAAAGAATGAGATGCTGCCATTTGCCACAACATGGCTGGACCTGGAGGACACTGCTAAGACACTAAATTAAATAAGCCAGTCACAGAAAGAAAAATATTGTATTGTATGTTCTCACTCATATGTGAAACCTTTTATTTAAAATCAAATATACAGAGATAGAGAATAAAATAGTAGCTATCAGAGGCAGGAAGGGTGGGAACAGGAGAAGAAATGGGGAGATGTAGGTCAAAGGATACACAGAAAAGCAGATATATAGTGTGAACAAGTCTAGAGACCTAATGTACAACATGAAGACTACAGTGAATAAAATTATTTTGGATTAGGGATTCTTGTTAAGTAAGTAGATTTAGCTGCTCGTCAAAAAAATAACTATGAGATGAGAGATATATTAGTTTGCATCACTATGGTAACCATTTTATTAGCTATATGAATCACATAACATCATGCTGTAAACCTCAAATATGCATATAAAATTTATTTTTTAAAAAAGAACTAGGTTAAGTTAAAAGAGAAGAGCAAATTAAGGAAGTGTATTGATAATTTGAAAATGAATTCTGGGTACATTAAAAGATTTTGAAAGTTGGTAGGCTTGGTTCTTAAGTATATAAAAAATCTAGTATTTTTCTATTTCCTTGTTGCAGATATGACACTAGGATGAATTACTTTTATAATACTCATGACTTTTTTTACGGATTCATAATGGAAATAAGGTAAGGCAAGAGGAAAGGGCATATTACTATTAAGTACAAACTCTGTTACCCACTGTTAGGTATCTTAGAAATGTTGCCTTACTTAATTATCATAGAAACACGGTGAGATGATTGATTCTCACGTATACAATACTGATTAAGAAATTGAAGGTAAGAGAAGTTAAGTAATATACCCAATAGTACACAGCTAGTAAAAGTAGCAGTACTGTAATTCAAATCTGACTCTCTAACTCCAGTATGTTCCTGAAAAAACAACAAAAAAAAAAAAAAAAAAAAAAAAAAAAAAAAAGTAAAGAAAAATTAAGGAGCAAATAATGAAGAAAGTATCTGGTTAAGAATGGGAAATGAGAAAAGGAATTAAGATATATGCTTGCAAGAAAACGATTATCTGAAACAAAATTAGCTAATTTGTGTGCAACAGAATAAAGGGAGA